CAGTCTCCAGTTTGGTGAAACACAGGATTTAGTTCAGTAGTCCCTGACTTAGAAGGGTAAGACTAGAGATGAAACTTTAAATTATCCCTAGCTGTTAAATGTTAATCTGAAAATGCAAAGCACACAAGAATTCTTTAGGTAAAACAACTGGTGCTGAGGCAAATTAAAAGACATTGCTTTTTTAGAAGAAAAGCTGCCAATAGGTACTCTGTAAATCAGTTGTGTCAGCAGGCTGTCCCCATTATGTCAGCTAATCTTGGAAATAGAGAAGGTAAATTTAAATCTTCTCATATGAAACATCTAATCAATGTTCTAAATTTGTTTCTCTTTTGTTTATTTATTTTGTTATTTGTTTTTACAGTTTGTTCTGGTACAGCGATAGGTGTTTAATACTTGTGCTCTGCTTTTGCCCCAGCTTGAAACTTTCTGAATAGGTGCAATGTCTGGTGGAAGGTGCCCAAATAAGAGTTCTCCTGAGCAACAGAGCTGGCTGGGCATTCAAAAGGAGAGCGCTTGTTTCCACAAAATGGAAAAGAAACAGAAAGATCACAGGCTAAGTGAGGGGACCAAGGAAAGAGGGTGTCAGTCATTCGGAATAGCTAGTACTGGTGCTATAAAGTTCTCTTTGTCTTTATTCCAGAGTACTGTCTCAGCTGTTGCACTAGTCCTTCATCAACAGCACACCTACATACTGCCTGTGTTTCCTATTTATGCTCACCCACCATCCAATTACCAGTCCATGAAGCTCTACCCCTGCTGTGACTTGATCCTCAGACTATTACATTGAAGCTTTTAACCCTCTCCTAACACCTACACATTAATTTATAATGGCAATATTTAGCATGCAGGTAGCTACATTAAGTAATTATAGACGATATTTCAAACACAGGATTAGTAGATCCTTACCCAGTGCTGAGAATCTGCAAAACTTAAACCTACAGTAAGCTAAAAGCACAGACATTTTCAGTCTGTGAATCATGTTTAAGTTCTTGTCGCCTCAGAGAACTGTGAGCCCTGACTCCTGTTTTTATCCTACGACTTGCCATAACAGATTTTTCTTAAAGTCCTGAAAAAGTCCTTAAAGCCCTTAAAGTCCTGAAATTATGTGAATTTGTGGGAATCTCAGCTTGCTTTGGAGGAAGGAAAAAAAAAAAGATTTCTGAAAAGAACAGTTTGAAATATGATCCACTTGTATTCTAAAGACTCATAAGTCATACAAGCAATAAAAACTCACAAATCATACAATCAAATAGAAAGGATTCACATATCTAAGTATCTAAATTTTTTTTTCCTCCGTGCTCTCCACAAAATATCCATGCACTTTAATTCCTATCTCATATCTTTTTTTATTTTTGCTGCTGAGAATACAAAAATATTCACATTCTGGACTAGCCTGCAAAGTATCCGCCTTCAGTCTAAAGGGTCATGCATCTCAGTTATATCTGTGCCCACTGCCCACACTTCTTCAGAAGCACCGAAACCTTAAACTCCCTGAATGCTGAATTAAGGTTTACTAGATCAAGACACCTATAATAAATCTGATACGAGAAAGTACAAATCTAGCTAGGGAACTGATAGATTTTGATGCACAAAGTTAGACTGAAACGTCCTTAACCACAGCAATTGCTATCATTTTGAGTCTTTGAGTGTCTAAATTATCATAGCAAACCTCATAAGAAAGCCTGCATTTTTTATTTCTCTATGATGATGCTGTAGTAACATTTGGTCTAATCTATTCTACTCCATCATTTTAATTTTATATTATTTCAGCTCCCTGCACCTCTCCAAAATGCAGAAACAGCAGTTCTCTCGAAAAATACTTCAGGGCAGTACATAGCCAAACTCATCATGGATCAAGCAGTGGTGGTAGGATGTAAGATTGAAACATCATAACCTTTTTGGACTGGAGCGCTGAATACAAGTTATGATTGAGAATGAAGGAGAAACAAAATGTCAGCTAAATAGAAAGCATTAGAGTACAGCTACCAGAGAAAAGATACGGATGACAATGGTTTAAAAAAATCTGTCTGTATAAGAACGACATTGTTGGTATTCACCTTTTTTCCATCTTTCTTTTTGTAAAAAATAGTTTACCAATTATTTTTATATACTGCTGATCATCCTTTGCATGGGGTTAAGCATCTGAAAAAATATTTGAATTTAGCGTTTTATATAAAGCTAACCATTGTTTACTCTTTGCCTGTCATTAGCAATCTTTCTTTAAAGTTTATAAAAATTTATAAAAGAGTTTATAAGACATTTCTTGATGTTAATCATTTTCCTGGAAAAGATGAAGTGCTGATTCAATTTGGGGATAGAAATAAGAGTATATTATATTACAGAAAGTAAGGCATATGTAAACGTAAAATAAGCATATATCAGAAATCAACATAGCTCTGCACCAATACGAAATAGGAAAAATGAAAATGCCTGTCACAATGGTAATTTTAAATGAAGAACCACTTCTAAATGGTATCACAGAAGCAAAAATTATTTAAAAGTCCTTCAACAGGTATTTGAAATAAATACTGAATTCTGATGAACAGCAAGTATCATGTATTTTCTTTAAGCCTTCACAACCCTTCCAGATTCCCAAGTATGTATGTATGCAAGAAAACACAGCAACAACGATGAAACCATTAGTGTATTCTTGCTTTTCTTACACCATTCTGAACAAGCCAGAAAAAAATGTATCAAAAGTCGCTCCGTCAGTGACACTCTTGGCAGATTAGTTAATGCCTCAGGAGGTTAGTATTTGTTCATCGCTATGGCTATTTATATTCATCAATCACTTCCTGCTTTCTCCTCCCTTACTGTACATATTTCTATGCAATTTATACTAATCAATCACTTCCTGCTCTTTCCTCCCTTACCGTATTTTTCAAATCCGCTAACTAGGATATGCAGCCTTGAACCATCTCAACAATAATTTTCTTCTCCCCTGTCTGTCATTGTCTTTCTGTACTGAAACGAATGCTTTTAATTCTACTTTTCACAATATTTATAAGGGCTATATTCCCTTTTATGAAATCTTTCAGCCTAAATGCTAAGCATTGTTTGGCTCAATTTGTAAGTTATTTTTTGAAAAATGCAACAAAATATAGAAGATGTGTTCTTTGCATTCCAAACCGGACACAGGGAAGTAGCTCGCACCAGCATGTTGTACTTCACAAGAATAAAACTGCCTGATTCACATAACTTTGGTGACCTTGCAGTGCAGATATCTCTACAGCTTTTACAAACCAGCAGATCATTTATTTAAACCAAGTTGTTTTCCTCAGAGAGTCTTTATTTCTTGTGTTGTTACTTATCAAGTATATCAGGGGTACACTTGATGGCTTCAAATCAGTGCTGACAAACTGATGTCGATATGACTTTAAAATGCCAGAGGATCAGGAGTAAGGTGGGGAGGACAGGGACAGAATTTCATTCATTTTCAAAACACTAGGGCATATATTCAGGGTTGGAGAACATTTGCAAGTCAGACTGAAACCGATGGGATTTGTGATCACTCGTCATTCCTTCGGTTCATTATTTATCATGTGTACTTTGGTAGCATCTGGAGGCCTTATTCTATAAGGGACTACAAACACTGGAGGCAAACATGACTTCTGCCATAAAACAACTTTTTAATATAACATGAAGTGAATTAATAATATCCGATCAAGTTCTTGCTTTAAATAGATGTTCCAAGTTCCAGGTTGAAAAAGTTAAATTTCTTTTAGCCTATTCTTTTCTAGTTAAATGACTACTGCATATGGAAATACGGTGCCTACAACTATCACTCTCTCATCAATAACTTACAAAGCTTAATTGAGTATACAGTTACGCAAAAATAGAATCAAAATTAAACAACCTAAACTCAACACCATCTACCGCTAAACCCATATACTTTGTGACTCAGTAATGCCAGTGGGGAGTGTTAATTCATATGAAATTTGCCAATGTGGCATGCAAAGTAAATGAAAAAAAAGAATTAAGATGAGAGAGTGGTAAAGGAAAAATGAAGAAGTGAAATACATTTCTGAGATACATGAACTATCCCTTGAAGGGAATGTGGAAACTCTGATACTGTTTAACATCTAGAGTACAAAATCAAACGTTTTATAAGCAAGTGAAATGTGAATGTTATCTCACAAGAAGACAGTGAGTGTGGAAGCGTTTGCGAATCAAGGATAAAGGCATCTCAATACCAGATGAAACTTTTAAACCTTGAACTTTGAGACTTTCATTTGTACTATATAGCAATTGTCCTTCTGTAAGGACACAGCTAAAAATGGGCCAAACTGATCTACCTCTGACTTAATTTGGTATCTTTAAATGACCAGACAGTTTTATAATACAGGATTTTTCTACAACCTTAAGGCCTTGAGATGCTTTCAGTTTATACTTTCTTTTACCCCGTGCTCTTTCCTGCCTAGATTTTCCAGGCTTTCTAAGAGCTGTATTTACTACCTTCAGCAAGTGGCTAGCCTCTTTAATAACCAGAATCAATAACACACCGTAAATTGGCTGACTGAAGTGCCAAGGAATATGGCTGCAGCCATTGGCCAAAACTTCATCAAGACTTTGAGTCCAATTCAACAAAGTACCTGAGTCAGCACAGCTCTTATCTTTGTCCAGCTTCTCCACCATGTAGTTTGTAGCACATCATATTCCCCAACATCCACACCTACTCAGCCTAAATAAGTAGGTCTACTTGCACTAACATAACCAAGTAGCTGAAAGAAGGCAGCACGATATGCTAGCTCACATTAAGACATACCTTTGAATTTGGATTATGTAGGGGATTTATTTCATCTGACCTACACTGGCAGAGCTACGCTGCTTTGGAGAGTGCCATGTTCACATCCAAAACTATGATAACAGAATAAAAACTATGCCCTGTTTCTGAGCCATGGAGCCAATGCAATCCACTCTGAAATATGTATGTATGACTTCATATATGAATCTATGAAGAATTTCCTTCATGCACTGCGGCAATTACAGGGCTCTCTTACCTGCAAGTTTGCACATGCGGGTGAATCATTGTGAGTGGGTATTTCATTGTTGGTGGTCTCTGAACCCGTATTTTTAAGCCTGGAAGCTGTTGTAGTTGTAGCTGTAGTGGTCTGTACTGGTAGGATTGGCTGCCACACGTTCACATCAGTACCATTGCCAAAGGCCTGAATTGCATTTTCTGTAAAAACACATTACAGATGAATTTCTACTTATAAACAAACGGCAGAAAGCAGAACCGACTTTTTAAAAAAATCAATGCTAGAGAACAGGCAAATGGAATATTGTTCTTCCATGGAAAATGTTTATATATAAAAATCCAATTTTTATTCTGAAAAATAAATTAATTCTCAACACATCAGAAACATGAACCGGGAGGGTTCATAATTAATAATAACATACCTAATCTGATACAGCATCTCCTGTGTAATGTTCTCAGTTATTCCTGACAGAAGCTAAAAAACTTACTATAATCATATTTGCTACCATCTAAAAGCCCTAAAAATTTAGTTTTGAGATTTAAAATTTAGTTTGAATGTTATGTTCTAATTCAGACAAGTGATGATACATAGCTAACTACAAACAGAGAGCAGGCAAAGTATCAATTTCTACAGCTTGCTGTATTAAACCAATATGTCCATAGCTACAAAACTGTTTAACTAAGACAACCTTTTTCTTACACTTTTTAATCAAATTCTGCATAATTAGGTGAGGAAAGCGTGCTTCAGCTAAAACTTTAGAATAGAAAAGTTAAAAAGCTTATCACAGTTTCATGGGATTAAAGAGTGTGTTTATAGCGAGAGTAAATTGGTTGCTTTTTATAAACAAATAGAGAAATAGTTTCTAATCAGGTCTTTGGGGATTCAACACGGATTTAGGGATTTCTTATTTCAAATTCATTGTATAAGATATCAAACAATTTCACTGGGGACTAATATGTGGAAGTTATTAATACTACTTCTCATTGGCATTCCTTGCCTTATAAAATAATTTACATTTAATTCCCATCTGAGAAAGATGTATTTTATCCTAGTATTAGTACTTAGAATTCCAACAAGCACAGAGATGGATTTATAAAAGGCACCAGAATTAGTTAGGTTGATGGAGACAAAGTGGGAAGAATAAAGTGATATTTTTACCAGTTTTACCTCAAAAAGGCAACATACAAAGTAATGTATTCCACATACAGTATTCTTAAGTGTCTGAATGCCTTCCTAAATTAAATACTAACTGTTTCCATTATTGTAAGAATCACAGAAATATATACAGCTCTTCCACCTTTCTAAATAAAAGTGGTTTTATAATTAACACCTTTAATTGTTTCTTCACTGGTCTTATATTGTCATAATATTTTTTAAAATACATTCCTGACATATCCCTCAAATACCATCTGACTGTAAGCACATGCTTCAAATGTCTAACTGCTCTAATGAAGGGGTCTTTTCAATACTCTTTGCTAACTCATTGCTTTTCCTTCCGCTTGCCATTTCTTTTTACCTGCTGCAGTATAAAGCAGGGGTGAACAAAT